TCTATATTATATATTATTAATATATATATTAGATCAGTCCTAGGGTACCGAAAGCAGGCACCATCATTAATGTAATATTTTTAAGTGCTCTTAAATTAATTGGTCACTCGAGAATTCCTATTCCCAAACAACAAACACCAACGATCAGCTTTTCTTTTTCTTTTTTTCGAATTCTTCTTCTTTTCCTTTTCGACTTGTCATCTTCCTTATTTTCTATCATTTCCAAAATTTTAACTGTTAATTTTGTAGATTAAAATTAACCGTTTCAATCTTTATTTTTCATATTTGCCTTCAAATATTAATTGAATCTTTTTTTTTTTTTTCTGAAAAAATTGTTAAATTAAAATCCCTTAAGGGTTTAGCCACATAGCCAATCATTAGCAATTTAGCATAGTTCTGAAATTTGGCGTCGTGGACGAAAATTTGCTACCCTACCTCGTCGGCGCCGCCCGGCTCGCCGTCCACTACAACCGTGCCTAAGGTCAACACCGTCGGCGTCATTTGTCGGGTCGTACGCAACCACTTTCCCATCTCCTCCACCATTTCTTTAGATTTTAAAACTTAGCACGCGATAAGTCTTTTATTTGTTTGCTTGTAATTTTAGTGATTTTATTGTTTGCTTGTAATTTTATGTTGTAAGAGTGTCTGGTAATTCTGCTCAAGTTATGATGTTAATTGTCTGTGTGGTAATTCTTAAGTACAGTGTGGTGATTTTCTCAAGTTGTTTTATTTTTTATAGGAGAATAAAGTTGAGATAAGTTGTGATTAACTTGTTATAATTTTGATTATTTAAAACATATAATGATTTCCAGAAAAAAATTTTCTATATATTAGTTAAAATGTTGGAGTTGTTGGTATTATTTTTTTTTTATTATTTTAAAAAAAGGAAATAAATATTTGGGGGCATTATTTTTGTACTTGGCACAGGGCCTAATAATTTGCAGGACCGGCTCTGGAGGATATAACAGGGTTTTGCGAAAAAAAACTAACACCGTTAATGGCAAAATTGAATCAATGGAGCGTGTGCATTGGTTTAGTAAATATAAAGGGGTGTCATGCATTTTTAAAATACAAAGTAGTAACATGCACATTTCGTATAACACATGGCGATTTGGTGCAACTTTTTCCAAAGAAAATGGCTGGGGAGGGAAGTATTTGTAGTTGTAGAAAAAAAAAATACAATGAAAACAACATATTGTCCCCGCCAATGGTTAGATCAAGAATTGAAATCAGGGTTGCTGATCTCAACAACCAAATTCAAATATTCAGAAAAAAAAAAATGGTAATAAGTCGGTGGATTACGAATTTTTCTAAAAAAAAAAGTTTTCTTATTATTATATATTTATATTTATATTATACGTAGCCTTGGTAACAATTAATCGAACCGTTGTGGTTCGGTTAAGACCTTGATCATGTCTAATTGACCCGTTCAAAAAGATGCATGCTGGAAAGGGTAAAACATTAATTGAAACATACATTTTATACATGTTATTTTACTCTATAACCAGCAATAATTTTCTTGGTACCTTCATGAACATTTATATGTTTTAACCTCTCCTACATCTTCACTACTCAATCATTTGTAAACCACACACGACCAAATTATGAATGTTTTCAATGTTTACAATATTAGTCACACGACTAAATTATGAATGTTTTCAATGTTTACAATATTAGTCGTACGCGGAGCTTGAACCATGGTTTAGAAAACATGGACCACAGTTGGTCGGAAGTGTACGGGACACTTGAACTTTCCTTAGAACCATCAGATGGCTCGGCTTAGTGAGTTATTCATAGTTATTCACAAATGGTGAATTGACACGTGTCCTACAACAAATGCAAATTGAACATATGTCAATACATAAAGTTATAGGTGACACCATAAGAGAGCCATCCGATGGTTCTTCTAAAGTGGAGCTTTTCTTTATATCAGCAAAAATATACGAGGATCACATATTGGGCTCAAACTACAAAAGAGGTAACATGTGGGGCAAATGAAGGGAAAGAAGGAAGCAAACCTATTATACTCGCAATTCAACTCCAAATAAGTTGCACTTATGTTCTTCCAAAGTGTACTTCCAAATTTCCGCTGCTGAATTGTGTCCAATGCAATAATTATATACACCAAAATGACACATAACAAGAATAACTTATACAATCACATAGCTGTGGAACGGGTCGATGCGTGGGCTCATGGAAAGAATTTGAGTATGCCTCTATATAGATGGAAACATATTTGTATGAAATAGTTGAGTCGATTATGTTGCTGCTGGATGAATGGCTACGACTCCCGGTAAATCGGTTGCGGATTCCACTTGAGATGCAAGTTAATTGTTCCTGATTTAGCACCATCGAGTGCGAAGGAGTCTTTATATTCACCTTCCATTAGAACCCTCGTCAGTGTTAGAATGCATCTCCCTATGTAATCCTGCAACCAATTAAGTTTTTATTAGAAAAATATGGCCAGGGAACAAAATTTTGAAGTTCTTACAACAAACACTTGGCTATTGAATCATCACTGCTATAAACTGCGACCGCAACAAGTCTGATAATGACATAGAAATAAATCGCGACAAATTTAATGAAATAGAAATAACCTCACACCACCCATAGTTCAGCAACAGATGTTTACCACTTTCTTGCCCATTTAATATATTTTTTTTTTTAAATGGTTATGGATCATGTGGTGAATAAAAACCAAAGTCGATTTCTCAAATCTCATGGATGAGAGTCAATTCAATTCTTTGACCTTTAATCCCACTTCATATGTGTACAGTCAGCAAATAAATCCTGAAGTGTGTGAATGAGAAGTAATTCCAACCATCAGATTCTGTTTTGTTCATGTTCACTTCGGTGATGTACACGGAACACTGACCCTATCTCTAACATTATGTGCATATGTTTAAACAAATATAAGTTACAAGTTAATTATTAAAACCTTAAACGTGCTATTAGGAAATGACCCATTTGAAGAAACCACAACTATGCACCATACTTTTCTTTTCTTAATCATCTTCCACCAATAGATGCACTATACAACCACCTAGAACAGGAAAGAGAAGTACCTTCCCGAATGTGTCATGGTCCCATAGTTCTAGAATTAGCATGTCGTGTAATCCATCCTCAACAACAAAATCAAAAGTCTGATTCCAGACTGGATTTAAACTGTCGTTCACAACCTAGAAAAGAAAAAAATTGCACTTTTAATAGGTATATATTCAAACATAATAGTCCCAACCAATGAATGCAGGATACTTAACTCATCAGGGAAACCCGACAAAATATTCCAAAAGTTCAAAAAGGTGAAAACAAACACTCCATACATTAGATTTTCATCTCAACACTAAACGAGAAGAGCAACATACCCTGGTCTTGTTTTTGGACCCAGTTTTCTTCATAGTGACCACCACATATGGATCAGCCTTCCCCATCAGGTCGGCCGGTGCCAAATCATCTGCAGATATGACAGTAACTGAAAGTACCCCTCTTAAAATAACTTCCCTCTTTTTGTTACCGTCGCCACTTAAAACATCTTTCACTTCTACTCCACTTTTGAAGACCTTCTCCAGTGAAGTCATAGAGACATTCTGTGCAAAGGGATTAGTAAAGCCGTTTTCCATGCCATTGGGGTAATAAAGAAGCTCCACGTGCACCTAGAATTGGCAAAGATGTAACAATAAGAAAACCTATTAGTGCTTATGTTGTAATAAATATATATATATGTGTGTGTGTGTGTGTGTGTGTGAAATTACATTTCCATATGAACAATTCTCGAAAAAGCAGTTGGACATTCAAATCTATCTATATCTGTGTTTAGTAAGAAATTGAATTGCTTAAAAACTCCATGTATTTCGTATATTTTGAATGGCAAAATTGTAGCCATGCAGTCTACTAAAAAAGAAATTAAACCCCATAATGAAAAAGAAACCCAAGGGAGGTAGGAATCTACTCATAACAAAAATTTAGTTTGTATTTCATGAATAATAAACTTGATCTCATGCTACATTAAGTTTTATCTACATGAGTATCCACACCTACATGTACAATTTCATGTTTTATTTGTATGCATTGAGTGATTTTCTTTCTTTTTTTTTTATCATTTGTAAAGTGTGTTAACTGAATAGTTGTCCGGGATGGAAACTATGACGCATTTCTTGAGACATTTCCAGTATGAATATCTCGTCAATGTTGCTTTACACAAATTAGAACTGCAATGGCACCAAATGAACCTTCCAACGTCCAAGTACCAATACCTGGTCAGCAATTACTCTTTCAAATAGCTAAAACTTAAACACCACCAAATGAAAGCTTCAATTTTGTATTATTTTTTTTTTTTTATAATTTTCTGTCCACTTCAACTAACCTCAACCAATATTGGAAGCCAAACCAAGTCAATGAAATCAAGATGCAGCAAGTGTTGGTATTAGCAACCCCTTTAACATGAGAACTTTGACCAGGTACTTCATATGTAGCTAATTATCTTTAAATTACCGATTTCAAGCCGCCCACTTGGTCTACTCCCACCTTGTCTCAAAACATTTACCCACTGCAAACGCCTCTAATAGAAAATACATGATGACAAAGACCAACTGAAAATAGATCTATTACCTGACCCCTGTCTTTATTGTCTCTCTGAACATCCAAATCTTTCACCAATTTCAACCACACATCCTTCACCTTGCCAGGCTGAAGTTCAGCTAGCTGAATTTGAGCACATCCAATTAGTTCAGACGACTGGAGCCCTTCGTCATCATAAATCTTTACCACCAAATGCTGTGTTGATGCATCCTCAATTACAAACTCAAAATGCTCATTCCAAACTGGATGCAATTGGTTGTTCTGTGGGAAAAGAGAAAAAGTTCATGGAAATGCATAATCCTGGAATTCAAAAGGAGATCTATGTAAAAGAACAAGATTATAGATCTCACGATTGTCCTGCTTTTCTTCATTCTATCACGCAAAGGTCGCACATATAAAACAGCATATGGATCAGATTTCCCTATAATATCCTTATTTGTTAAGTCCTTGGCTTGGACAAGCTTCACCTCCAAAACTCCAACCGGCTTGAGCTCAAGGTCACTAAGAAACAAAAGAGATAATGCCAACTAATTCTCTCAAGCCAAAAAAGGTTCATGTCCCATTTGACACGGCAGCTGCTGAGGGATCAACACATAGAAATTGGGTCTTGACTCCAAAAATAATGGCAGCCTAGCATTTTAAAACTTGGCCAAATACTTGAATTTGCAAGGATGGACCAGTGTTATTAATGGCGAATGGCGGTTACATGGCGGTTAGCCAAAATTCCGTCACAGCAGCTGCCGTGACGGCCTATGGCGCTGCCATGACCGCCATCCTTCACAAATTTTGCATGGCGGATTGTCAAAAATCCACCACGCCATGGCGCCGCCATGGCCTCCATTCGATAACACTGGGATGGACTGTCATTTTTTGTTGAAATTTTTTAAAGAACTTGTTTATGGAAAACATTGCTATCTTCGTTTCTGGATAACGTGAATGGCCAATTTGAAAGCTAACGCTCGTTCTTCAAATGTAAAATACCTATAATCTCCGGGCAATATAGGGATGACTTTCCGAACTGGCCAAGTAATAGAGTCTTCAACAGCGTCCCTGATAGTACTCTGTAAAAATAAACGCCCTTTGTATATCCAGATAACATGATAATAACATCGCGAGGTTTATAAATTTTTCGTCGATGACTACGACATGATCATACAGAATTAAAAAAAATCTATAGTTTATGCTGAATGTTTCATAATACCAAAAAAAAATTCAAAAACACAGTGTAAAACTGAAGATCTTGTTTTTCATATAGCAAGAGAATAATACAATACACCTATATAAACACTAAGAGATCTATGAAAGTAAAGCTAATAAATGGGATATGGGAAATCACGTAGATATGATAGATATCCCTTTATATCATATAGGTTAACAAGTAATTTCAGAAAAGCAAATTAAACAAAAAAACTGATCATGAGACAAAAAGAAGAAACAATAAGAACAGGAAAATGCAGGAAAAATAAAAAAATAAAAGTCTTAACAGAGAATATAAAATGAAATCTTGCTTCATTATGATCAAACAAACTAAAAAAAAGCAATTCAAAAGGCAAATTTTTGAGAGAACTTACTTGGTTAATAAATTTTTGGATATTTGATAATCAAGTAGTTCAGTCAATTATTTCTCATCCATTGAAGCCTTCAAATATAGCAAATGTTTATTAATCTAGTGTTCAGTAATGATTCCAAAGGCATATATTTTATTTCCTACTTCACAATCAAACTTTAATGGTGTATGATATATCTCCAATTAAATCTCTAGCTGTTATAAACTGTTAAAATGAAATCCATAATACAAAAATCAGAAAGATCAAGTTAAGAGTGAATATGTTCACTAACAGTTTTCTCTATAAATTTCTACTTTAATCACATAATTATCATACAAATATGGACTCAGATGGAGAAAAGAGAAACACAATAAACAGACCTCAATGGCATCAGAAAGGCCAGGAATGGTCGATATATCTCCTCCAATGACTTTAAGTGTAAAATCCAGCTTTTTCTGAAAACAAAACAGAGAACCCAATTAAACTCTTCTATTTCAGTGGCATTCGACAAGTGCATAAGGGTATAAATGGTTAGTAGAAGGTGAATGTGAGCAATGTGAAGAGTCTAAGAGCTCCATCCTTTCTTTTCTATATAGTATCTAAATGCGATAAATAAGTAAGGAACAATTACAGAGCAAGCCATGCATAAAGATTGTTATGGATGAATTTGCTTATACATACACAATTGACCAAGACATTTCTCCATTTAATATGCTAAATGCTTCTTGAAGAATCAAACAATCAATTAAAGGAAATACCATACTTTTTGGCGCAACGAAAAGCAAACAGCTCCAAAACAAGGAAATTCATCAACCAGTGGTCGGAATATCAACCTGAAGACCCCAGTAAACCCAATATTTTTCACCTACATCAGGGAAGAAAAATAAAATAAAATTGGATCATGTAACAGTCAGAAGGGAAGTATTACATAAAATGATTACAAATGAAATGGAGGATATAACTGTATGTCAAAATATATATATATATATATATATATATATATATATGATTATTGAATTAACCCCAGGGTAGAGATTAGGAAGTATATACATGCATTGCTTTTAAGGCATTGTAAAGAACGATTGAGGTTACTGATATACTGACAAATAGTACCAGTACTTAATCATGTATGACATAATTGTTTGTCTGCCACATATAGCTTCATTAGCACTAGTCACTAGATTGTACAATCCATGTAGTATTTAATCATGTAACCATAAAGGATTACTTACAATTTGTTTTCTAACGCAGAAAAGCCTGATGGGAAATGAACTCCAAACATGTCAACTCAAACATTATGAAGACTCCAAATGTTAATGGAGAAGCTTGAAAAAACATATATAAGGTCTGTAAGGATACAATAAAATTCAGATAATATCTACAAATCATAGAGAAAACCCTAAACGCCATCAAAGAGTGTACAAACTCATAGATGAAACAATATACTCATCATGATAACTCAAATAGTTGGTTTGTATACTAGAAGTTTTGCTTTGATTTTAACCAATTTCTATGTAAATTTTGAATGAGAATCGAGATTAGTCAAAAGTGTCAGTAATGCAACTTGTTCAATTATTTTACATTGTAGATAATATTGTGCATCATGTTATGCACATCATATCATCAGTTCCTAGTAATATATATATATATATATATATATATATATATATATAGTTCACAACAGAGATGGTAATGAACTAACTATCATGGAATGGAAGGTTATAGTACAATTTTGAATTAGTTGATTTTGACTAATAAATTATGCTAGTTGAATATATTGAACAAGAACGCAGAGGATAAGTTCATTTGGTACTGACCTAGTAAATGAACTAAAACTTATTTATTACCCATACTCTTGACCCATATATAAACGACATGCACATATATTTAGTATGTACTTATTTGATTTACCAAACAATTAGATTTATTCATTAGATCAATAGACTCAGCGAGTTGTGAAGTAATGTTGTTTATATGGTGTGCTATTGATTTTATCTGGTGTCTTGACGCGTCAGGTTGATGGTGTGCCTAAAATGAGCTCAAGAATATTATAATTATGCTATCGTGCTGGATTTTGATTCGGCAAAATAATAATGCCAAGTGGTAGTAGTTTAAGATTCAAAATGTTAATTAAAACGGTTATTGGTATCATAAAAATGGAGATAAAAATCTGAACTCCAATGTAATTTGCGGTTAGACAGGACGTTCAATAATAATCCTTTAGTGGATTGGATTATTATTGAGGGGCTAAGGTGTAGTCTGTAGGGTGACCTAAAACCCAGTACACCTATCCTACCACAAGTCCTACTCTAACACCTTTTTAGGTCCCTGTTGTAGCTTACGAACAGTCTCTTGAACTTCCACGACTTCTCTTGCAAGAAAAACTCATGCACACTATCCTAATAGATAAGAAATTGAGAGGTTTTGGAAATAGAGTAAGGAATGTGTTTCCTAAATCTGCTACTAGTACAACACGTGATATTTCTTCCTTCTTTCTATGAATTGAAGACTAATCGGCCTTGACCTGAGTTTTGACAGCGAGGATCTGAAAGCTTGTACCCCACGCGACGTTTAGAACTATTGATCGGAATACGGTACAAGACACGAGTGTCGCGCAGCTAGATCCCGATATCGTTGACCGCAGAATCGTCTCCGAATCTCTTGATTCGTTTTAAGTGGTACGATCAAATCATATGCTCTAGATTTCCGTTGAGAATACAAATAATTGTATATTTCAAACGAATACATAGAATCCGACATTCCTCACCGAACCCAACACAAAAATAGAAGAATTAAATATTCACAATGAAGCTACTACGTTAAATTTGTTGGTTCTTATGTGAGCATATAGATCTCCAATGAAGAATAAGTCGACTGAATGCATTTAATAAATGGCAAACACGAAGTTTATGGATAGTTTTAGATTCTAGCTCAGTACTGGATAGCCAAGTTTATATCAAGTACTGGATAGCCAAGTTTATATCATTTAGTAAAATTGCGCGCGGCGAGCCAAGGAGACAAGCCTCCTTATGAAAGCGAGACAATCTACTATACAAAAAATAGAGGTACATCATACAATTCACCAGTTATGCACAATTATGCACCATGATCAATTTAATCAATCTATTCCTAAATTGAAACAAAAAAAA